ATCCACAAAGGAACTGAAGCTCTGGAAGATTAACCAACTTACCAAAGGTCACATATTAAATAAATAGTTCAGCCAAGATTCAAACCATGTGACTTATAAGTAAAGCCAAAATAGTTTAGACCTCTTCATTACCTTTAACTACAGTCAGAAGCAGTACTCTTAAGTAAAAGGGATAGGTGAAAAAATGTGTGTAACTGGTATATTTTGCCCATGGACAGGCAACTAATTTCCATGAAAAAATAAGTTAACTTGAACAGCAGTCATCTACAAATACAACAGTGTGATACCACCTGCTTGCCTGAAAAGAGAAACTGTTGAGAATTAAAAAAGAAAGTTGGAGTAGGGGTGAGGTAGAACATATGAATAGAAGCAGACTGTAATGGATCTTAGATATCACTTACTGAAAACATTTTAATTTTAAAAGGTCTGAAACCCGAAGATGTTAGGTGTCATTTCAACCCATGTTATATCTACTCTGTGGACAATATGGTAATTTCAGTGCTTCTGATTTTATAAAGGCTTTGGGCTAAGAGGGATCTTCACTTGAATCTGGCTCTGCTTTCACCAGCCATGTGGTTTTGGTATTGAGTTTTCTGATTATAAAATAGACATCCAACTCCTACCGCAAGGATGTTATAAGGAAGGGTTCAAAGCAACAGCATTTGCAAACTAATCACAGTAGAGTGTCTAAAATATAATTAGACACCCTTTCCACAATTTTTAATACCAGCAATTTATCATTAGGATACATTTAATAAAATTTCTGTCACATCCTGGCAATTACATAGAATCATTACTGCTATGGGTCAAACCAACGTATTAAAATCCTACCACCTTAAAAATTCCTTCTAGATCGGGCACACATTATATAATACTTTTCCCCCTCTTATCCAGTGCTCTCTTCATACATAACAGGCTGGAATATTTCAATCCTAGCTATTAAATTTCCTTCCATTTTGTGGCACTGCTTAGCAGGAGGCTTTCATGAATCTCTTTTCTCCCTGTAAAGCAATGAATTCTTTAGCAAAAACAAGATTATAGTAAAAAAGGAAAAACAGGGACACTGTCACATGTCAGACTGATTTTTAAAATTCAGATTTGCTCTGAAATGAGAATGCTGCATTTCTTATCCCATGCTTGATTGCTCACCTGTTCACTACTCCAATTATTCCAAGTTTGACTGGTATAACCCTTCCCATTAATACATCCATGGCATCAGTACCCGCATCCATGAGATCAAGTTTAGTGATTACAGCTAGAGTTCTTCGACCTGGTAAATGCAAAAAAAAAAAAAAAAGAAAGAAAAGAAAAGAAAAGTCCCATTAAACAAAGCTTTTAAGAATTAATCAAGAAAATCACCATCTATAATCCCACTGAACATTACCTCTTGTCATCATTTTGATGATGCTTTTCTAATCTTTGCTTACCAATGCTTTTAAAATCTAATTTTAATCATCATATCTAATTTTTTTAATTTCACATAAAAAAAATTTAGCTCTTAGGGTTAACTTTCTAATAAGCATTTTAAAATTTATTTAAAATTCACACAATGCTGGTGTACAGTTCTATGAGTTTTTGTTCTGTTTAATCCTCACCCGAGGATATTTTTCTTGATTTTGAGAGAGTGAAAGAGATGCAAATATCAGTGCGCGAGAAAAACATTGATTGGTTGCCTCCTGCACACACCCTGGCCAGGGCCCAGGCCGGGGAGGAGCCTGCAACCCAACCAAGGTTGGTGCCCCTGACTGGAATCGAACCCGGGACCCTTCGGTCCACACGCCTATCCACTGAGTCAAACCGGTTAGGGCCAGCTCTCTGAGTTCTGACAAATGCAAAGAGTTACATCATTGCCGAAACCGGTTTGGCTCAGTGGATAGAGCATCGGCCTGCGGACTGAGAGGTCCCAGGTTCGATTCCAGTCAAGGGCATGTGCCTGGGTTGCGGGCACATTCCCAGTGGGAGATGTGCAGGAGGCAGCTGATCAATGTTTCTAACTCTCTCTCTACCTTCCTCTCTGTAAAAAAATCAATAAAATATTTTTTTAAAAAAAAGAGTTACATCATTGCTACCTCAAGAGACAAACAGTTCCAATACCCCCAAGTTTTTCTTGTACTACCCAATCAAACACATTTTTCATCTTAGTTTGCCTTTTCCAGAATGTCATGTAAATGGAATCATGTACATAACACCTTTTGAATCTGGCTTCTTTCACTTGGCATAATGCATCTGAGAATCATCCATATTGTTGCATATATCAATTGTTCATCACCTTGTATTGATGAATGTACTATATGGATATAATATACTATGGTTTGGTTATTCATTCCTCATTTGAGAAACATCTGAGTTGTTTCCAGTTTTAGAAAATTACAAAGCTACTATAAATATTTGCAAACAGGTTTTTTATATGACCATGAGGTTTCATTTAACATGGGTAATTACCTAGGAGTGGAACTGCAGATTTCAGTTTTTTAAAAATATATTTTATTGATTTTTTACAGAGAGGAAGGGAGAGGGATAGTTAGAAACATCAATCAGCTGCCTCCTGCACACCCCCAACTGGGGATGTGCCTGCAACCAAGGTACATGCCCTTGACCGGAATTGAACCTGGGACCCTTCAGTCCGCAGGCCGACGCTCTATCCCCTGAGCCAAACCGGTTAGGGCCAGATTTCATTTTTTATATTTATGGCTCAAGTTATGTTTAAAATAGAATGCATATAAAATGCTTAACAGTTTACTATAAATAAAACTTAAATCTCTTGGTATAGTTTTATCTTTTAATCTAAACTGAATATTCATTACTCATATAGTAAAAAAGTTCCTTAAAAATTTGAAATAATGAAAAAAATTTAATAACCCCGTTTATGGGAATTTTAATTGGTAGTCTTAGCACTAACATTTCTTATCCAATTTTTATTTGAAATTCTTCAGAGCTGGAAAAAAGAAACATGGCAGAGCCCACTGATCCTCCAAATACTCAAGTAAAAAACAAGTCTCTTGCATGAAGCAAACCATATGCAGTATTTATTAGCAGCAATAGTAACTATATTCTTGCAAGTTAGCATTTTATATATACTAAGCAATGCACACTAAAGCATTAGTGAAGTATCATACACTGACCCCCAGTATGAACTAAGCCTTGGGGATATGAATGCTTCATAAACAAATTTTACCTTTATTTTTAAGAATCCCCTCTTCCTTGAGTACATCTAAATGTTTTGTACCACTGAAGAATGTAGATATCATAATTATTTACTAAAATATAGTAATCTACAATTACCTACTATGAGAGTTAATTATTCTTAGAAGTCAGCTATTCAAAAACCCGTCATTTTATTTACACAAAACAAGAAACTCTTTTTGCAAAGCCATCTTATTATTTTTAAGTCATTAGGTAACTATTTATAAATATGGACATTATGGTGAAGTATTTTTGCCTAGCTTATAAAGCAATTTATCCAGTAAAACATATTTTCCATAAGAATTTCTAACTGAAACTATAAGCAAAATAGGAAAGCATTTTTTAAAATTCTGTACTAGCAGCTAGAGTTATTCCTTTTAAAAATAAAAACTTCTTTCTTGAAAGTAAATAGATTTACCACTGTTAACCAAGCATTTCAATAAATATTAACATCTGTCCTTACCATCTGGATCTACCTCTCTTGAAATTTTAAGTGCCTCTGATGTTGCCATATCTGTATTAGCAGCAGTGACAGCGAGGATAATGGAATTTGGATTACTGATGAATCGAAGAATGAGCTCTCTGATTTGAAGCTCAATATCTTTAGGTTGATCACCTACAGGCACCTGAACCAAACAGAGATGAGCAAAAAGCTAGTAATAAAAATTGACTCAGTTTTTTCCCACATTTATTTAATCCAGAGATTATAGGAATTACTCCATTTACAGATAGTTAAAAAGAAATCATATGCTAGTGGTATATATGAATTTGGTAATATGTGAAAGTCTCAAAATGAAACTTGAATTATCAAGTTTACCATGTTAAAGATTGGTCAGTGTTAATTACTTAGTGACAAATTCATTCATTCAATTAGCAAGTACTTATTGGCAGCCTACTGTATTTCAAACACTGTTCAACATACCAGGTTATGTCACAGTCGTGAATAAAAAAAAGACGAAAATTCCTGCCTTCAAAGAGCTTATATTTTACTGGTGAAAAGCAGATAATAAAAAACAAATAGAACATTTAGGTAGTGGTAGGGCTATGGAAGAAATAAAGCAGAACAGAAGCTACAGAATGATTAAATAAGGTTATACTTTTACCTAAATTGGATTGTGTTTTTAAATAGAGTAATCAGGGAAGACCTCACTCAGATAATGACATTTGAGAGAAAGAGCAGAAACTGAAGGAAATAAGAGAGGTACATACAGGTATCTAGGGAAGAACATTCCAGCCATGTGAACAATAAAGGGTAGAAGACTGGAGCAGGAGTCAGGAGAAGAGTAACAGGGACAGATAAAACAGATACTTTAGATCTCTAAGAACTTAGGCTTTACCCTGAGTGAAATTGGAAACCGCTGGAGAGATTCTGGGCCAAGGAATGACACAATATAACTTTCACTTTAGGAGCATTACTCTGGCTGCTTAGTTAAGAATAGATTATTATGAGGGAGACCTACCAGGAGGCTATCTCAGTAATCTAGCTGAGATGATAGTGACTAGATCAGGACGGTAGCTCTGAATGTGGAACACATAGTAACAGAGTTCTGGATATATTTTAAAAGTAAGGAGAGCCAAGATGATTTGCTGACAGGAAGTACAGTGTGGGATGAGTGTTAAGGATTACTACACACTTTTTGGCTAAGGAACTGTTAAAAAAGAGTTGCCATTCATTGAAATGAGGAAGATTACAGAGGGATCGAGTCAGACTGAGGAATGGGTCAGGAATTTGGCATTAAACACATCAAGATTAAAAAACCTATTAGACTTTAAAGTGTATATGTCAAGTAGAGAGTTGAATATATAATTCTGGAAATGGATATACAGGTCTGGATATATTTGACTACTGTCAGCTTACAGGTATTAATATATTTAAAGCTACAATATTGGATGAAATCATCAAAGGGCTAAGTGTACTCCCTTGACAAGAGGTACAAAAACTGAGCTCTGGGATACTAACTATTTAGACATTGGGGAGATAAGAAACCAGCAGAAGAGACTTTAAGGAGTGACCAGTGAAGTAAGGCTGTAGACTGTGGTATCCTGGAAGCCAAGTAAAGAGTGTTCTAAGGAGAAGGAAGGGCTCAACTATATCAAATGCTGCAAATAGATCAAGTTGATTAACAAAAAGAAGAAGAAGAAAAAAAGCTTGTTATTCTTATATGGAGTTAAGGAAAAAATCCATTTGTTCAAGTGAAAACAAACATGACCAAGTCCACAATGAGTAACAACTATTCTTTACCTTGGTCATTCCTGGCAAATCCACAAGTGTCAGATTCACAACGTTGGGTGAAAAAATCTTAAGATGAATTGGTTCAGGGCTTACTCCCTAAAAAATAAGTTTTAAAATCTCATATTAAAATCACATTGAAATTTCAATGAAATATAAAATGTTCAAGTAAACCTCATTTCATGCAGATACCTTTAAATATGAATTAAACCATGATCCCTAAAACATTTCAACAATCAAAACCTGATGAAATACATTGGAAAGTAATAAGGGAGCCAGCCAGGCATAAAGTATATTACAATCCTATCTCAAATCCTATACCAATAATGCCCACAATTTACATCCCTGTATTTACATTCTTTTCTCTTGATTCTAGGCAGATACCATTTCTTAAATATGTTCAATAGACTTGGTGCTGAACAAAAGAATAACATATCACTATCCAAATTTATGAGGTTCTTGAGCTCAGAAAGTGAGTTGTTAGGTAACAAGTTATCCAAATCAATTTGGTTCCTAATCTTTGAATATCAAGTGACAAGAGTATATATTGGAAGAGAATCCTCAGAAAATTTTTCTGGATCTCCAGATCCCCGAATTGAAATACTAAAAATCTGGATAGTGTGAGACAGCCATATTCTCTCTTCCCTTTAGTATGATTATTACAGACTCTTCACCACTGGCCCTTTACAAGTTTTAGTGTTGAGTTAGCTGTATGTAAAAAGACACTTATAAAATGTTCATAACTTGTTTTTTTACACATCCTTCTTTATCCTTTAAAATGTGCTCTCATCTATTTATCCACCTTATATCTTCCTTCCCACTGAAAATTCCAATTTCCCAGAGGACTTTTTTGGAACATCCTTTACTCTGAATTCTCTGTACAATTACATTTACTATATTAGATTACTCTGAACTACTTTGCTATTTTTAATTTTTAAATGTGTTTTACTGGTATTTTAGAGGGAAAGGAAGGGAAAGGGATATATAGAAATACTGATGAGAAACATCATCAATAGGCTCCCTCCTGCATGTCCCCTACTGGGGATTGAGACCAAAACCTGGGCATGTGCCCTGACCAGAAACTGACTGGTCTTGGTTCATGGGTTGACACTCAACCACTGACCCACACTGGCTGGGCTACTTTTCTGTTTTTAAATACTCCACTGTCCCAAAATCATTACATGTTGATATTCGGCATAACTACCTTGTTTGCATACTTCTTTGTGTGGTAGGTATCATGTCCAATACAAAGCTTTTTCTAAAAGCTTTTGCAACTCCAATCTCACAGATACTTTAAATCCTTCAAGGCATTATGTTAGACATATAAACCATTTAGATATTTTCACATATAAAACTACTTATTTAAATCAAAGTATCATTTACTTTATTATAAATATGATTTAGGAAAGATTTTCCATAGATTTGAAGGTAGGGGACTTCTCATCTTTTGGACGCTGGATGAGAAAACCTGCTAGGTAAATCTATCATGTCCCCACCATAAATTATACATCTTGTATGTATATGGACTAGATCCCTCGGGGCATACAGTTTAGTACAACTAAAAACTTTCCTTTTTGAATCATCAATCACATCCACTCTAAATTCTAGTACTATGTAAAATTACCACCAATTCCCGGGTTCAATAAATCCATGGGAATCTCAGGAAAGATAATTCAGACTGGTATTATGATCAATATCCCAAAAGTCAAAATTACCCCGATATAATTAAAGGACTAAGGACAAGCTAATCTAGTTTCCCGCTACTTCTTCTGCCTTCTATATAATACAATTATTAGAAATTCAGGGACATATGGCAGCAATAGCAGTAACTCAAAGATTACCAGCCTAGAGTTCAATAAGGAACAAAGCTGAGTCAATCACAAAAACACAAACAGCCTGCACAGGCATGAAAAATTAACATGGCTCCAAAAATGCCTTTCTGTCAGGAAATAACCTCTCCAGCACAGTATCTGGCAAGTAAAAGGGCTCAAGAAATATTTGTTGCATATTAGTACTAGGCTTGAGCCCACTTATAGGATTAAATGTGGCTCTGGGTATTGATAAGAATGGAGGTAAAAATGAAAAGGAAGGGAAAAGAGAGAAAGGTAATAGGAAAAAAGGAGAGAGAAACAGAAGCATTTAAAGAGGCAGTTTGTGTCTAGTGTCAAGATTAATGATATCTTAGATACCTTATTTATCTTAAACTCTCACAATCTTAGAAAATCAGAAAATATTCAGTTGCTAACATTACAATTGACTCTGGAACAACACGGGTTTGAACTGGTTCCACTTACATGTGGATTTTTTTCAACTGACCTGTACAGTTAAAACCCATGTTTTTCAAGGGTCAACTCCATGGTTGGGAATCCGAATATGCAGAGTGCCGGGATTTTCCACTAATCCCACCATTGTTCAAGGGTCAACTGTACTTTTCATATTCACTGAAATAAAAATATTTAATTTATCTCTCTTTGCATTAAGCAAATCCAACCTTACTCAGGAATAAGAAAAAGAGGTCTTTAAAATATATGTATCTCGCCCAACCAATGTGGCTCAGACATTGAGCATCGACCCAGGCACGAAGAGGTCACTGGTTTGATTCCTGGTCAGGGCACATGCCCAGGATGCAGGCTCAATCCCCAAAAGGGTATGTGTAAGAGGGAGCCAATAGATGATGTTTCTATCTCTCTATCTGTCTCACTAAAAATCAATAAGGGAAAAATTTAAATAAATATATCTCATAAGTTATACAATGCTTCTTGAGTTATAGAGTACAATCAAACCATCAGAAAAAGATAACTTATTGTAGCAGTATTAAAATGAGAAATTATACAATAAAGTGGTATGTACATCACAAAGTCAAGAATAAACATCTAAATGAAGTATCTGACTATATAAAAGCTCTAAGAAACAAAAGGGCTTTTAAGTAGTTTTAATATATTTATGAAAATACTCCATTAGTATCAAAGACCAGGATTATGAATTTACAATGCTCACCACACATTATATACAAAATATTCTGAATGATAGATTTACTAATGTTTATACTTTCTAGCTCTAAAAGATACCTACCTTATTATTTCCTGAAATTCTCTCTGTTTCATTCTCAATTTCTTGTCGAATTTCATCAAAATCTGTGTAAAGCTAAAAATTATAGATACAAAAAAGCATGACTTGCAAAATAAGATTAAAGTTCTTAAGTGGGGGGGTTTGACAAATTTCAAGATGTTCATAGATCTGCTTTAGAGAATTAGTAAATAAATTCTAATATATACATATATTTTTCTGAGTCAAGAATCATAGTTTGTATGAGATTTTCAAGGATGCCTGATTCCACAACAGTTAAGAATCTCCATATAAAAATAGTCACAGGGATATAAAGTACAGCATAGGGAATATAGTCAATAATATTCTAATAGTTATGTATGTGCCAGATGGGTACTAGACTGATTGCAGTGATCCCTTCATAAGGTATACAGATGTCTAATCACTATGTTGCATGCCTGAAACTAATAAAAAATTTTTAAAAAAATTTTAAAAGAATCTCTAATTTAGAGAGAATAGGGTTCAACTAGTGTTTTTCAAATAAACTACTATGATTAGAAATGTTACTAAGATAAACTTTATTTTACAAGCAACAGCTGTTTCAACATAACATGCCACAATGCCAATGATAAAAAAATAAATTATCAATTACTTGTACAAAAAATTTTTTCAGTATGTTATTTCTTCATGAGATTCTTTTGTCGTTACCTTATTTTTGGTGTGAAGAAATTTACCCCACTCCTCTGCTTCAACTCCTGGAAAAAGAAAAGCTCCATTTATTGGAAACTATGGCAATTACTTTTTATCTTTATTTAGGAATCCAAAAACGCAACACAATATTACTGGTTCCTATTTTGCCACTAACTACAATTTCATGAGTATTTTAAGATTTGCTAAATTATCCTTTCACATTTTAAAAACGGTATCATGTATTTCAAAACACAACTAATTTCAGACAGAGTTTCTCACAGGTCATCCCACCATTTGAAATCTATATTTTATGAAAAAAATTGTTCACTTTTCTTCACATTTTATGTTATATTATAGTAAAAAGTACATTCTTTATTTTTAAATATCTTACACATAAAAGTAAGTTACCTGATCAAAGTACTCACTTAAGCTAATGGCTTGAAAGAAAAAAATTAAGAATCTTACTGAGCAATACAAAAAAGCATATATAATAGATTTACACACATAACTTTCAACATATGAATGAAACAGCTAACTTTTCAACTCGGCTGTTTGTTTGTTTTTTTAACTTGGCTTCCTATTGGTTACCTATAAGGTCACAATTTGTTCTTCATACTCAAGAGTATGAAGCTATTGTGTAATTTATATGCACTTTCAATGTGAATTTTTCCTTTCAGAGCCAAGATTACATTTCGAAGCGGGGGTGGGGGGGGTGGGGGACAGGGACGGGGACATATGTAATACTCTTTGTAATACTTTAAGCAATAAAACAAAATTAAAAAAAAAGATTACATTTCGAGGCTTGAAAGTAGGAAAGAAATGAAATAGAGGAGAAAGGGGGCACCCCAGCATATGCATTGTCTGGAGTTGCTCCACTCCATTAGTTTCCAATAAGTCTGTTTTTCCTACACTTGCTTAAAAAAAGAAAAAAGGAAAAGGAAAATATATTCACTGTAGGTACTGTTTGAGTGGTCTAAAACTTAGAAAGCAAGTTTTGCTTTATGTTTCCCAGAAAAGCTAGAAATGTTTAATTGTAAAAAGGTAAACTAACTTTACCTCCCCCAAGTATAGCTATTCTGCTTTGCCAAATTCAGAGTTTTAAATGTTAATGACTGAGTTTATGAATAATGAATATCAGCCACCTGAAATCAAAATAAAAATTACTGTAAGATCTTTAAATAAATATTTATTGAGGGAAAAGTGGATCAATTCTTTGGTGAAATAAAGGTAAATAAAACTGGATCCTTTTTACAAGTAAAATGCTCACCTACTTGAAGCTTAGTACCTTCTTCCAAGAAGTCTCATTGGAGGACTGGAGTAATCAAGGTGAACAGAACTCACAGAGGCAGGTACTACATACCAAATGGGTGTTTTGGATTTACCTTATATTATAAAGGCCTGGCTTCACAAGCATGTTTTTTAAATTAAAAATGCAATGCATTCGCCATCAAAAAAAAAGCCTTCATTCTGATGAAATGCCAAAAGGTAACAAGAACCATTAAAACCTGCAACAATCAATGTGGATAAGCAAATAAAAACAGAAGAAAAAAAAATGCACGCAGCCTGTAAGAGTACAGAAGCACACATGCAGGCATAATAGGAAAAGAAGGGCCAAGAACAAATGGATAAAGGAAACCTTTAGAAAGGTGTCTTGAGTTTTTCCATGTAGCAGGGTCTGTAGTTAAAGAGAAACAGCACAGAATGGTAAGTTTAGTGCTTATCCCTAATATTTTAAACCTTTTTAAAAAATGTGCAGAAACCTGAATATATTTCAAATTCTCGTAGCATTCAGTTATTCAAAATTTACAACTATATAATTTTCAGTATAATTAATTCTAGTTAGAGGGATGTATATAATATTTTAAGTGATATAAATGAACATGTTGTGTGCCATAATTTTATTTTTATTTTCCATTACAACTAATTATGTCACTTCTGGTTTCTGATTCTAACACAAACAGATTAAAATTAACTTACTGTTCAAAAATTTGCCTTAAATATTTGATAACTGACTATAGAAAAAAATAAATTGCCTGGTCAAAAAGAATCTTTAAAACATACCAAATACATCTTTTAAAACCTTAAGAGCAAGTAAATATGTACAAGTATATATTCATTAAGATTGAGCTTTATGCCCTGACTGGTTTGGCTCAGTGGATAGAGCATTGGCCAGTGGACTAAAAGGTCCCAGGCTCGATGCCGGTCAAGGGCATGTACCTTGGTTGCGGGCACATCCCCAGTAGGGGGTGTACAGGAGGCAGTTGATCGATGTTTCTCTCTCATTGATGCTTCTCTCTATCCCTCTCCCTTCCTCTCTGTAAAAAATCAATAAAATATATATTTAAAAAAAAAAAACGATTGAGCTTTATAAGGGATTGTTCTTTGAAATGTATATTGAATTTAACAGAATACCACAAAAACAATTTTGGTCTTCAATTAGCATGTTACTTTTGGATTTTGTCTAAAAGGAAATCTTCAGAAAGCATGATTTTTTTCTTACAGTTTAATTTTACTTTTAAGATTTTATCAGAAAATTCTTTTACACTGGCAGAAGTGGAGGACAAGCTGAAAAATACTATAAATCTATATACTGACACCTCAGTTATCCTATGTAATTGTCAGAATGAAGGATTTCATGTTAAGTAAATTTTCCTGATAATTATACATATCAAACATTAAAATTTTATTTAAGCCAGCTTTGCTGACCTCTATCTAAAATGGATTACCATATTTGCCGGCATATAAGACTATTTTTGGCCCTGAAAAATATGCCTCCAAGTGGGGGGTCGTCTTATACGCCAGGTACACTTCAGATAGACTGCCCATAGTGCTTGCCCCGTGCCATAGTGGCCTCCCGATGCCCGCCCACTTCATTCCACATACCGTTCAGGCATCAGCAGCGCTGCTGGGTGTATGCTCGGCTGTTATGCGATTTT